CCATTCTTTGGATTTCGGAACACAATGTGTAAATTTAATTACTTTCTGAAAGAATATGAGTCGAAAATCAAAGGAATGTTGAAGTATGCAAGTTTGTTTTTCTCAGAGAGTTCCATTAGAAGATCGGTACCACTCTCACTATCTGTCTGTTTAATATAAGGCTACACCAGCAGCCAGTTAGCTTAGCATAAACATTGTAAACGGGGTGGAAACAGCTAGCCTGCGTCTGTCCAAAGGTATAGGAAAAATTTAAATAATTAACGTGTTTTATCTTGTTTGTTCAACCAGTACAAAACCGAAGTTTAAAAATGTAATTTTGTGGTTTTATGGAAATTATGTATCTGACTATTTCTTGGCAAGGGGTCCAGCACAGGAGATAAAACCGTTAGTAAGAAATAATCCTCACGAAGATGTTTAAAGAGACAAACGGATAACTGAGGTTGTTGGTGAGTGGCAGCAAATGTTACAGATCTTTGTCATGATTTACGTATGTGCTAGCTAATAATATTGGCTCGATGACCAGTGCAAATATAAACCACTAAAGCAAACTGAAGGCATTGCATCATACAGGCAAGTCCTAGTTTGGGTTAAAGCTATATTTGATAACTATAATAAAAGTAACTTTATGTAATTTCTGCTCAAACTATCACTTTATCTTGACAGTAGTACATGAGACCTGTAAATAAAAAAATCATCACTGCATTATTTATTTCTAAATGAGAGACTTTGCCATGACCTCCCTGTTTTTACACGGTGTACAGAAGATGTAACTTGTTAATACTTTATATATCTATACTACGTTTTGTTCATGTTCTGGAGTGATTATTAACATGCGTGACTTATTAAAATAAAGTGTTTCTTTGAACTCGTTGTCACCCCTGAGCCACGTACATGACTGGTAACGCTTCTGGGAAGTCTAGACAGGTTTGAAGAGCGAAGAACACACATGTATTGAGAGTCATCTTTCCAAGGCAATGGAAATCTGCAAAAAGGTTTCCCACCAAATGAAAAAAGCCTGGCAGAAAAAGTGGAATTCCCAATGGGAGGGATGACTTGCCTTCCTTTAGAGGCCACTGGGAGTCTGAGACTGCAAGGTAGACAGTATTACACAGTGCAATCGTTAACATTCCCCCAACCTCACGTCAGGGCAGCTTTTAGATGTCTGAGGTAATCACCTTGTGAGTCGGCTTCTTCTGGGGCATGCCTTGGCCCTGCCAGCGGAGCCTCAGATGACTTATTGTAAATGGAGAGGGTGTTTAGTGCTCTTGAAAAAAACAGGCCTCTAAAAGGGGTCCTGACAGTTTGTTGCTAAGGGTGCAGGTTTGTGCAGGGCCGGCCTCTTTGTTGACATTCTCATGGTGAATGTATGGAGCAACACTGCATTGCTAAACAGGCCTGAAGAGTTACTTATAGGTACATTTAGAGATGCCTGCATTGATTTGTGCTGAAGGTCTGTGCACCAGTTAAAAGTGAATGGTGATGAAGTGATGCTTTAAAAGTGATGCTGTGAACGAGTCATTCTGAAAAATATAGAATACGTTTCCTAATACTCTGTTAAGCATGTCCCTTATAGGACCCGAGAGCCCCCCACGGGGGGCTGTTTTAGAGTGTGCAGCATTCAGCGTGTCGTAGAAAGCATTTTTAATAAAGAAATATGATTATTGCTCCAGCCATATTAAATATCGAATTAACAGGAAAAGTCCGAGCAACATCATCATACCAGCCATTGTAAACACTGCAAACACAATTATACATGAACTAATATCATATCTGGAAGATATCTAGAAGATTTGCCACAATTTTGGCCAAAAATCGACGACCTATGCTCTCTCTATGGCTCTCTCATCACGGAGCAGGATCGCACATGGCGGATGAACACATGCAGGAGGGGCACGATTCGACCCGGAAACGCACAGCGGCGTCCAAATTACTCTCTTTCAAACTGTTCAAAAGTTATGGGTATGCATGCCAACATCAGCCGCAGGTCACGAGAAAAATAATTGGGTAAAAAATTACGTTTTGACGGTTTTGGCGATGAAAAACGGATTTATTCCAGCCGATTTTTGCACAGCTCTGCCCGCCATGTTCTGCTGCATGTCTGTGAGTGAGATCAATGCGCTGGCGGAATGAATCACACAATGGCAGACGATTCTGTGGGGTGGAGCAATCCATGTAGAGAGGGGGGTTCGCCCAGCATTTTGCGATTTTTAGTCAGTAAACAGACCCGGATACGATCAAACACCCCTGCATGGCTCCCGTTGGACTATCCCGCATCTAAAAATGTCTCACACGAGTAAATCGGCCTTACCAAAGTCACATAGAAAACACATTATGAGCCATTTATTGTTATGACTGACAGATATGACACATCATAACTGCTCAAAATTATTCAAAATGGTGTCAAACTGCTTTATTAGGATTATTGAACACTCTTAGTGATAAGAAAAGTGAATATATAGTTAATATTTTGTTATATAGTATATAAAATTAGTATACAGCAATGCAACAGCTGGTTCCGAAAATCAAAATTTTGATTTTTATGACCATTTATGCTGGCCTGCTTCACTCAATCGAAGTAAAATATGTTGTGGGGACATGTAAAACGTGTTGTTCTATGACTGTGGCGTGGTTTTAGGCTTGCAGATGCATTATTTAAAAAAAAAAAAAGTTCAATACAAGTGCTTTTTTTCAGGCGAACCTAGAAATTTTTCAATTTGAGCTGTGCCATAAGTGTATCAGTTATTAACCAGTAACATATACACAATATTTACACAATTCAACACATCTCACAAGTGTTACCAGTATTCTAGCATCAAAATTATTAAAATAGACCTTGTAGTTAGAGCTCGGGACTCTCTTGAGTATGGCTATGCAATTTTCGAGCAGAGGCCTAAAAATAGGGCTAGGGTCCTATGAGTTAAGTCTGCTTAGAATGAACATTTTATCAGCATCAGAAATGCTTCCTGTAAACACGACATCATTAGTTTAGTCTGTTTTTCTTTCATTATAGATTGATCCGTTAATTCATTTTATAATTAATTATTCTTTTAGTCCACAAAATGTTAGAAAAGAGTGAAAAATGTCTGCCTATCCTTGAGCCCAAGGTAATGTCTTACAATGCCTTGTTTTGTCTAACCAAGGAACAATAACCTAAAACAAAGAAAAGCAGCAAATCGTCATATTTGAGAAGGTAGAATCGGCAGATGTTTGGCATTTTTGTTTGATAAATGAAGTAAATAATAAATGGATCAGAAAAAAACAAGTTCATTTTCTGTTGTCGTTCAATCGCTACTTGTTTTCTAACTACTAGCACTCCTTAAGACACGATCAGAATAACAGAAGCAGCAACAGTGGCAGAGTTATCTCAGGTATGTGCTTGTCCTTGAATATCCAAATCTGCCTGACGAATGAGCGGATGGGATACAATCTCATGTGAATCACGCCGAAAGAATTTCATCTGACGTCAAGAGCAGAAAAAAAACAATCAAATACACAAAAAGAAAGAAAAGTGATTTAAAAACAAACACTAATGCTTCTAAAACATACAGCCCAAAGGAGACTTCGGTGGCAATGATTGATGTTTTTTATGGCCGCTCTGAAGATGGAATCAATTGCGAGTTTTTGAGACATGGTGGACAATAATTAAAGGGAAGGAAAGTCTTTACAAAGCAGGGAGTTGAATTACGATGGTGAAAATAACACAATTTCACAAAACCAAAAAGAGGTTTGTTGAGGACAACAGCATGTAAAACAGCAAAGCGATTCCTGTCAGTCAACATTTGTTTCTGTTCAGCAACATTCCCAGCTTCAAATGCTAAATCTAATTAGGAGAGCGTGCTCTGTCTCAACAACAGGAGTGGGAAAGTGGGCTCAAAATAATGAAAGACAAACACGTTCAATTCTCTACACCTGGATGTCAGTGATTCTACCAGAGACCTTGCCAACATATCCATCTGGAGTTTTTCAGGGCATTAAAGGCTCAACACCTGCAATTTAATGAACACGCTGCAGGAAACAGCATAACTATTCTGAAACCATATGGATATTTAAAATCTTCAACATGTCAATGTGATGTTTTTGTTCCCGAGTCTCCATTCACGCTGTGCTAATTATTGCCAATTTAACCCGAGCCGTCCCAGCATCAAACGCAGCACTTCTCCAGAAACCGGCTCCAACCGGTCACCTACAAGGCAAAAAGAAACCCCCTCACCCAGCGATACCGGTTTGTGGGGAAACATTACGTTCAGCGATAAAACACAAAGAGCAGGTTTTTTTTGCGACTGAAAGTGCAGCGCGGAAGAGAGAAGGCCGTAAAACTGTGAGCATAAAAAGCGGCCTGTAAAGAAAAAACACTGGAGTAAAAAAAGAGGTGTAAATCAGACGGAGAGGAGCGGAGATGCTCTCAGGACAGCAATAACCAGCTCCGAGAGCGCTGGTGCGGCTGGAAGAACCAGCCCCTGGGTCGCAACTCAACAGGTACAGACTTGATAAAGAGAGCTCTGAGCGGAAAGAAAACACTCACCTCTGTGTCAAAGCTGAGACAATGAGCACAAGAGGAAGGAAAAAGTATTTTTCTAATTTCTTTTCAGGGCAATATATTTTTCTTTCAGCCACAACTATCAGTGGAATGTGTGGTATTCTCATTTTCCCCATTCATTATGGGACTGATTTCCATTCAGATGTTCTTTTGTGTCTTATATATTTATAATATTTATTGTATTATATTTTATATGTCTTTGTATAGTTACAAGTTCTTTCTTTTATGGAGTGTCCCAGTGAAAGCCCTTCGCACGATTGAACTCGTATTACTGGACTATAAACATCTGGACTCTTGAACATCTGGCTGTGATCCAGCGTACTCACCATACATCTTTCCCTCATCTGACAGGATGATTTTCCTCCTGCCACAGGGAGGGTAAATGGCGAGGGCCTCCTGGAAGCTCTGCTCGATGTCCGGGCTCCACACGCCCTCGGCGTCCCCGTCAATGGCCTTGTCCTCGTTTTCCCCGTCCAGCCCATCTTCTGGGCTACCGTTGGCGCTCCACTCGTTGGACGCAATGGTGGCGGCTCCCCCTGGGCCCGACCCCGAGCCCCAAAATCAAAGGATCTGTGGGAGACCTGTGAAATAAGGATACATCAAGTTGCTCAGCTGTTTTTTTATTTCATATTGACACTAAATCCACTAAACAGTTTGAAACACGGGTAGTTCAGCCTTCTTCACCCAGTAAGGGTGTTAAAGGATTTCTTATATCATCAAATCCCATGACAACCCCAAATCAACAATGCTTGGACAAATAATGTCTGTGCATCCAAAACCCAATGTAACGTATTTGTTATAGAGTGGTGAAGGAATGAGTCCTAAAATCCTGAAATGAATAAGGTTTCCCTTGGCTTATTGTTAATGTTTTTTTTAATGAGATTTGGTTAGATGCCTGAAATAAGGTCTGTGGTTAACACAAGTTTAAGAGATTTTAAAGTTTTGTTCAATGACATAAAATACATCAGTAAATAACCCTCTTGTGAATCCCATTGGCTTTATCTGTCGTGGGAACCAGTGTGCTGCTAACTTCTGGTATTGACCTACAATAATACGTCATCTCTTCACCACTCGACAGAACTCCATTGTTGTCTAAGTAAGGGATAATGTCACCATTGGGAAATAATCCCAGACAGGATGTGCAGGACCTCAATGTAAAGCAGTTCATTACACGGCTACTCACTAAAGAAATCATTTGTTTGAAACTAAATAATGATTCAAAAAATATTTTATTTATTTAGAAATCATTTTATTTATTTATTTATAAAAATAAATTGTCCTCTCACTGTTTGCAGAGATCTGAACTGCTTAGACCGTAGAATTCCGAAAAAATCGGAATCGAGAATTTAACAAAGCTGTGAAATAAAAGCACTTCAGTGAGCCACATCTTCAATCCAACACACACTATCCCGGTGATGTAAAAATACTTTCAATTCTGTATTGATCCGCAGCCGCAAATAGTCTGCAATTAGTCCCAAAAAATGTTCTCTGTACTCCTGTTTGAGAACCATTTTCTAAAAACTACAGTTGCCCGGCTGTTCTAGGAAATGCCTTAGTCTTTTTAAAGAAGGAAACTTTATATGTGTGACCCATTTTTAAGGATTTATGCCTCGAGTAGGACTTAATGGGCTTGGGTCTGAGTGCCACAGACGGAAAAGTCAGACAGTTGTGATAGACCAATTGACGCATTGTTGGTTTTGGTCCGTTCATGTCATTTGTTGCCAATAATGATAAAAATCACCAACTTCATCCTTTAATGCTTACCTTGTTTATCTGATCTGAAAACAATCACCACCAAGTAAACAAGCATGCTGCATTCAACCATCATTTCATATTTTCAATAAAAGACACTTTTTCAGATTAAACCAAAATATGTGCGGCTTTGCAATACTACTAAAGTCAGTCAAAGATATTTCTAGCCGGCAAAATGATCCAAACTCTTCTATCAATATCGGTCTTGACGCCACAGTTGGAAATGCGGGTCATGTGATGCCATCTGGCAAACAAATCCATTATGAAGAAAACTTTCTGTCTCACAACATTTCAAACAAAAACACACTCTTTCATTAGATCGATCGTACAGTATATTACAAGCCGCCATGTGTCTTATCAACATATTATTTCTGTGACATTCATGTGTGGATGAATCCTGAAAACCTTTATTGAGCTGTTTAATGATACTGTTGAATGAGCAAGTTTCATGAATGTTAGAAAGCTGTTCTCAGGCTGCATCCACTGCTCTTTCACCTTCATCTCATCACACTGAAGTGGAATAACCAGTCAGCAAACATTAACAGGCCAGCGCACTGAACAGGCTTTCTTAATGTTTCCTTGTTTTAAATTTATGATTCAACGCCGCCGACATTCACAAGCACATTTCAACTGGAATGCCTACCGGAGCAATGAAATACAAGACAATGTGGATTTCAGTAAATTAAATACTATTTCATCTCCAATTTAAGTACCACCTTCCACATTGTGTGAACTTAATCCCTGCTAAGTGTCTCTACTGTTACGACTCCTCTGCATCGGCGACAGCTGCGGCCAGAAGCGTGACGTTTTCGGGTTGTCTGTCCGTCCGTCATGTCCATTCTCGTGAACGCGATATCTCAGGAACGCCTGGAGCACATTTCTTCATTATGCCACAAATGTCCTGGACTCAAGGACGAGCTCATTTGATTTTGGAGGTCAAAGGTCACTGTGACCTCACAAAACACATTTTTTTTTTGTCAAAACCAGGCGGCAACCTCCAGTTCTAAACAGTGAAGCCAATGCAGAAGTGCTTTGAACTCACATTATCTCTGTCAATCTCCTAATCTCCTTGCGAATAAGAAGTCTGATTGTACAGAAGTCTATGAGAAAATGACTACTTCTTACTTGAGTTATTAACTCAATAAACATTGTGAACAATCGCTAGTTTCAAGTCTTCTTCAATACAGCATGATGATCATTTTCGAAAATGATGATCCCATTTAGAGTCAGATAGACCATAAAGAGCAGTATGCTTTAGGGCGGGCTACCTTGTGATTGACAGGTCGTTATATCAGAGCCGTCTCAACGTCGCTCCTCCAAACAAAGTCACTTCCGCTCACCGGTTGCAAAAAACCAAGATAGCGACGGCTACAATGCTGAACTCAGGGCTTCAAAACCGCAGTCCACAATCCAATGGGTCACGATGACTACGTTCACTTCTCATATACAGTCCATGGTCATATGGAGGATAAAATGATGGCATTTTGGACGGACTTGGTTGTAAACTGCAGCGTTACTGGTTGGCGGAGGCATAGAACCACAGGGCGATCATTCTACTCTCCTTATAAATGTACAGTGAATTATTTGTGCGTCTGCAAAGAAGGCCCAGAGCTGTGTGAGTCCATGTAAAGCATAATGAGACAGGAAGAAGGAACGTCATTCATCTATAGGTCACTACTTTGGCTTTCTTTGACATTTTGTTTTGTGCAGTCGTTCAATTTTTATGAATAAACAATGCTAACTGCAATTATTACTGTAACTCCTCGATTTTATTCCTCTGAACTGGCCAAATGAATTCAAGCTATTCCATAAAACAAAGTTTAAAGAGCTCACTAATCAGCGCTGGCCTCAAAGAATTCTTGTGGTCTGGGAACTGTGTCCCAGTGTGGTTGGCTTATGGCTGACTGCAGGCAAAGATCTTAAGTATTTTTCAAGCTGCCTTTTCAGCATCATAATGTTTCTGAATGGGAAGTCTATGAAGTAACCATGATCCTCCCAGGATGCTTGTGTTTCTGCTGTCTGCATTTCTGCAGATGTAGACAAAAGTAAAGTACAACAGATAAATACAGGGAGTTTTATTACACTTACATTTAGAGTTTATATGATAGAACGATTTATTACATTATCCCTTTTCAGAAGTTTTTCTTCAGTATGAGCAATATTTGACCTCTTTTATGAGATTTTGCACAGTTATGCCGTCAATTATTACCAGTGTGGTTCTTGAGAAATAAAAATCAACCCAGAAATGAAGTTTTAGTCTTGAAATGTGATTTGTACTTCAAATTTTATTTGGAAAAATAATACCAAGCATAAAGAAAACATCTATACAAAATCAGTGAAACTCTTGTTCTCAAGGCCACATAAGTCTGTGTGGTTATCCATTGTGTCATCACACCAAAGCTGTGCAGCCAAGAGGTAGTTTTATTTTATCTAGATATATCTATGATGATAGGCTGCTCCTCTTGGTTCATCTCTCAGTATTTAGAAAGATTCATGCTTTATAATCGCTGCGAGAACCACAAGCTGGAGAAAGAGCAGAGGTGGAGGATTAGGAATGCTTCCTTTCTCTTCCCATCGCCATATGACGGGAATTAAAAAGATCACAGGAGAGTAGATCATATTCTACCACACGCCACGTACAACATCAAATTCATGGACGACACTGAACTCAAACGAGAGTTTGACAACTATCCACAAGACAAGCTGCTAATTTTAGCTGAGAGGGTATTGGTTATTATGGCGGACCCTTTGCAACAGGGTCACGGTGTTAAAACTCAACACTGAAACCGAGCACTCATCAGCAGCTCAAGTGATCCATGTCAGTCCTCACAGATCGCTCCCAATGATTGACAACATACGCCTAGAGTGAGGGTTAGTTTAAGCATTATCTGCACCAGGCTAGACAATTAAATAATTTTTTATGGTGCAATTTTGGGCTATCTTTGCCCCGATGTTTTAAGTTTGGAGGGACTTTCATACACAGTCACACAATTTTATTTGCCCCCTCAATTTTGCTTCATGGGGAAAACACCTTGAATTTGGGAGAAATGTGGCCTCATGCCCCTGATTATTTCTGACGCTGACTTGTACTGATACTTGATAAAGATCGGCACCCCAAAGACAATAACAAAGAATATAGAAATTTAAGTAAATAAATCAATTAATAGAATCAGAGCTGCAACGATTAGTGAATGTGTCGATTAATATATAAATTGGTATTTTTCAAGAAGGAAATGCCAAAAATGATCTTGTTCCAGCTTCTAAAATGTGAGTATTTTCATCAGCTATTATTTTCTCAATCATCTATCGTCTACAAAATGAAGAAAGAAATTGAAAAATTCCAGTTATCATTTCCAACAGCACAAGATGACGACTTCAAATGTCTTGCTTAATTCAACCAACAGTCAAAAAGCCAAAGATATTCACTCTGTTATCACGCACGACAAAGACGAGCATTAAACCTTCACCTGTGAGAAGCTGGGAGCAGAAAATAATTTACATTTTTACTTGAAAATTACTAAAACAATTATTTAATCATCAAATTAGTTGCAAATTATTTTTTGGACTAATAATTGTAATAATTCACCTTTGACTCTTTTTCTCAAGGCCCACACATACATGTGTTTAAATAGCCGTATCAACATTTACAGCTGCCTGTCAAGACATCAGCCATACTGTTTCATTCTCCTGCTGTCAGCAGCCGCTTTGTTGGTACAAACTAAAAACCGAAACATCTTTAGGCACAAAGAGCCATTGACATCAACCCAAGTGTAACCCTTGAATACACACTTCTTCCTCGAGCCTCAAGTGCAGCAGATGCCCTTCATGT